CCGGGGGGGGGGTCCAGGCAAGACAGGAGCCACAGCCCCGCCGAGACCTGTGCGTGGAGCGGGCGGCCAGACCAGCCGGTGCTGGACAGCGGCCAGGAGTGCCCGGGGCGCTTGCACGGACAGGAGAATGTCCTACCTGGCACGAGTCACCCGTGTACTCAGGGGGGCAGGCACACATCTCCACCGTGTGCGCGCGGCGCCCGCTCCCTGTGTCCGAGGCCTCCTCCAGCCCCACCCCGCTCAGGCTGAGCCGCTGCGTCTCGCTGAAGTACAGGCCGCGAAGGCGCATCTCCTCCAGCCCCGACAGCACCACCATCAGCTCCGCCCGCGTCACCGGGGCGCCGCTCCCCGCGTGCCGGAAGCTTCCCTGCAGGGAAACAGAGAGGCAGGCTCACCTCAGGGAGGCAGACACCCAGACAGTCGACGACACAACAGAAAATAAGATGCAGTCGGATAGGAAGGGCCTGACGGTGGACAGACACTCAGGCGTCAGATGTCCTGCTTCCTCCCAGGAGGAGGGAGAGCCACGTCGAAGGGGGGAAATGAAGGGAGGAAATCAGGAACAATGCAGTGAAACTGAAGTTTCCAGTGTTAGGCTTCTTTTAAAATGTACTTGTGGCCCAGCTGGCGTGGCTCAGTGGTTGAGCATCGACCTATGAACCAGGAGGTCACGGTTCAATTCCCCGTCAGGGCACATGCCTGGGTTGTGGGCTCTATCCTCAGTGGGGGGGTGTGCAGGAGGCAGCCGGTCCATGGTTCTCTCTCATCATTGATGTTTCTCTCTCTCTCCCTTCCTCTCTGAAATCAATAAAAATATGTTTTTAAAAAATAATAAATAAAATACACTTTTGTTTGTGCAAGCACCGAGAAAGATGGCATGGAAACCGAGGGATGCAGCCCAGATATTTACATGTGAGTAACTGGGACAGAGAACACAACCTTCTCTTGTGCACACACATTCATTTTCTATGATAAAAAAGATACAATATAAAAAGTATCACCTTAACTAGTTAACTGCCACGATATTTTGAATTTAATTAAAAAAGGTTTGCCGCCCGCATCTATAGACACTTATGGTGCACAAGCGTTAACCGTATTTAACTGTACGCTACAATACTATTACTCTACGTGCATTGTTGTACGACAGGTGCCTAGAACTCTGTCATCTTGCAAGACTGAACCTCTATGCCTACTAAGAAATCACTTCCATCTCCTCCCCCCAGCACCCTGCCCATGGCGACCACCATCGCACTTTCTGTCTCTATGAATCTTCGAGCTTAAATACCTCTCTACAGGAAATCATGCAGTTCTGTTTCTGTGACTGGCTTATCTCTTAGCAGGATATCCCCCAGTTCCATTCACGTTCTAGCTGTGGCAGGGCTTCCTGCCTCCTGAGGTGGGATCACATTTCTATGTATGCGCCACTTTTTCTTATCCATTGTTTTCGCCTCTGGGCCACTGGGATAGTGCTGTGATGAACACGCATGTGCAAATATGCCTTCAAAATCTTGTTTCCAATTCTTGTGGATATATATCCAGAAATGGGATTGCTGAATCATGTGGTAATTCTATTCTTTAAATTTCTGAGGAGCCTCAATTGTTTTCCACAGCAATGCACTGTTCCACCAACGGCGTACAATTTCTCCACATCCTTGCTCACTCTTGTTCTTTTGTTTTGTTTTGAATTAAAAACATTTCTTGTAGCCTTCCTAGTAGGTGTGAGGGGTATCTCCTGGCTTTGATATGCATCTCTAATGACTTAGTGATGTTGGGCATCCTGTGCACAAAAGCCTGTAGTTTTAACCCTTGGAGTCTGTTGGTTCCTCTGAAGAGTTTCCACGTCTCTTTAATGGGCAGAGTAACAACACCTAATCCCTCAGCAGCATCGTGAGGATGAAAGCGAATTAGTGCTGTGATGTACATAAAGTATTCAGAACAGTGTACAGTAAACATTAAATAAATGGTAACTGTTATCCTATATAATAAAAAGCTAATATGCAAATTGTCCCCTTGACCAGGAGTTTGACCGGCAGTTCAACCAGGGGGTGGGGCCGGCCAGCCAACCGCCTGCGGCCCCTTCCCCAAGCCGGCCCCGCCCCTGATCAGCACCCCTGCTACCCCGATCGGGGCGGGCTGGCCGGACCCCACCAGTGCACAAATTCATGCACTGGGCCTCTAGTTAACACATAAATATAATACTTACATAATTTTAATTTATGTTTTAACAGTTTGAGGTATAATTTATATACAATAATATTCCCTCACTTTACGCATAAAACTTTTAGTAAATTTACAGAAGCACAATGTAATGTTAGAACATTTCCACCCACCTCCAAAAGCACCCTCCTGGCTATTGTAGTTACTGCCCATTCCCATCTCCAGGCCCAGGCACCTGCTAAGCCACATGCTGCCTCTATGGACTTGCTGATGCTGGACATTTATATAAATACCAACTTAATTTCAACAGTATACAAAAACGTGGCTTCCAGTGGCTTCATTCCCTCCCCTGCTCCTTTTGCTACGGTCATATAACTTACACTTTTATACATTGTAGGCTCACCAACACAGATTTAAAATTATTGCTTGATGCAGCTGTCATTTAAAGCAGATAGGAGAAAAAAGGAGTTATAAATAAAAGATATGTTTATACTACCTTTTCTATTTACCTTTGTAGTTACCTTTTCCTGTGTTGGGTTTCTTATGTGGATTTAAGTTACTGTCTAGAGTCCTTTCATTTCAGTCTAAAGGATTCCCTGTGGTATTTCTTGTAAGGAGGGTTGGCTAGTTGATGAATCTTCTCCGTTTTGTTTATAATAGAATGTCTTCATTTCTCCATTATTTTTGAAGTACATTTTCCTGGACATATAATTCTTTGTTGACAGTGTGTTACCTTCCGCACTTTGAAAGTCTCAGCCCATTGTTGTCCAACTTCCATGGTTTCAGGTGAACAGTCAGCTGTAATTTTATTGAGGACCCCATGTATGTGACACAGTGCTTCTCTCATGCTGCCTTCAAGATTCTCTGTCTCTCAGCAACTTTACTATGATGCTTCTGTATGTGGATTTCTTGCATTTATCATACTTGGAGTTTGTTGAGCTTGGGTGTGTAGATTAATGATTTTCATCAAATTTGGGGAGTTTTCAGCCTTTATTTCTCCCCCCCACCCCGTTCTGGCACTCCTATTGTGCACATGTTGGTACATTTTTTCTGACTATCTCTGAGACTCTGTTTGTTTTGCCTCACCTTCTTTTCTTCCTGGTCCCCAGACAGATAATCTCAATTGAACTTCTTCAAGTTGGGTGATTCTCTCTTCTGCCTGCTCAAACCTGTTGCTGAGCCCTTGTCTTAGTCAGCTCTGGCCGCCATAACAAAATACCGTAGACGAGGCGGCTTAAACAAGGTGTATTTCATCACAGTTTGGAGGCTAGAAATCCCAGGTCAAGGTGCCAGCCAGTTAGGAACTCTCTTCCTGGCTTGCAGATGGCCACTCCGCACTGTCCTACTCGGCAGGGAGAGTGAGCTCCCCGATGTGTCCTCTTATAAGGACACACTAGAGGGCACATGTCATCCCCCCAGGTCAGGGCTCCACCCTTATGACCTCATCTAACCTTACTCACTTCCTTACTCCAAATACAGCCCTGGGGTCAGGGCTTCAACATACGAATTGGTAAGACAGGGCTCTCCTATTCTCCTTTAGTTCTTTAGGCATCGTGTTCTCTAGTTCTTTGACATATTTAAAATGTTGATTTAAAGCCTTTTATAGTAAATTCAATGTCTGGGCTGTTTCTCCTCCACCCCTCTCCCCCCAACCTCCCACGTATAAACCACATTTTCTTATTCTTTGATGTTAGACGTCTTTGTGGCTTTTCCGTCAATTCGTCCCAAGCATTTGTTGGACACTCACCAGGTCCCAGCACCGAGGGAACCCGAGGACACGCCGTAGCACTTAGAGGCCCCTGGGGTTTATAAGACAAAGAGGACGGACAGCGCTCAGTGCCATAAAAATGGCACAAACAGAGCCCTGTGAGGATGAAACTCCGTATAGTTTCTATAACTCGTTTTAAACTGAGAGATAGAAATTATGTTTATATTTGGAGGATTCATATAATTCATATTTTTTAACTCACAAAGTCCGTTAAAAAGCACGACTGTGTGAAGGGCTAAGCTGTGAACAGAGGGCCATGGAGAGCCAGGGAGGCACGTTCCTTAGGTCACCCACCTCCACCAGCTGCACCCGCCCGTGATGCAGCTTGTCCGGGCGCGGGTCACTCGGCTCCTCGTGGACGACGGACATGCGCTGACCCTGTTCAGAGAAAAGCACGCCTGCCCTCAGGCTGTGGCTGGGCCCTCAGGCTGTGGACAGGCTAAGAACAAATTTATGTGGATCTGCATGCGTTGCATGAAGTGCCTGATTCTAGAAAATTGTTGGGAAATAAACTGACTGGCAAAGGATGAGTGACAAGGAAGCAAAATGCTACCACCCAATACACTGCGTGTTCACAGTCAGGAACCCCCAAATTCTCTTGACAAAAGATGGCTAAAAAGATGGGGAAAAATTTTAAGCCGTGCCTCACAGTTAGTACATGAGGTGCTGTTTCTATTGCTGCCTACAGACTAGACTGTGGTAGCAAGAAAGCGCTTTGGGGGGTGGGGTGGGCAGGAAGGTGCCAGGCCGCAGTGCAGCCTGCAGAGCGGGGAGCCTCGGGGCTGGCCCCTGGGGGACTGGGGGGACCCAGCCCTACATTCCTCACCCTCTGGACTCAGCCTGTCCACCCAGCTCTGCACCCGCTCCCTAGCACAGGGCACAGGGGAGGCCAGCGCCCACTGTCAGCACCCCCCACCCCAACACACACACGCGCCCCAGCTTCTCTGTGGTAGCACCAGACCTGCCAGGAATGCCTTCGAGCCGTGTTTCAGAAAGAAGAGATTATCTGCGATCACAGATCATTTTAAACCTCAACCTGAGAAACATGCCCAGTCGGCTCTTCATCACAGCAGCCTGGACACAGCGGAGTAACGGTTCATGCTCCAGGGAGAAATCAGGGAGACGTTTTGAGCATCACCTCTCTGTGAATCTAACCGTCTGCACAATCAACGTATTGGCAGTAACATATAGGTGTGCTGATGGCCTGGCCTCGCGAGACTCTGCACAGAGAACGAGCCTGGGATACCGCACTGCTTGGCAGTGGTCTTAGTGGCAGCTACTGCTCCCTCAGCCGTCACTCTCACACCTTTGGTGCTTCGTGTCAAGGTGCTTTGCAAAGGTTGAGGTGACTCTCTTTTTGAGGACAGGCATTGCCTGCCCTTTATGAGCCCAGCCATGTGGCCTTGTCGGCAGGAAGGGCTCAAAAGCATTTGTGAAAGGAAACTGAAAGATGGAAACATAAAACATAAAAGTGAACTTATGAGAATCAAGTTATGAGCCACTAAGCACATTGGGCCTCGGGGGGTGGGGCAGGGGTCCCGGCAGGCACTGCATGCTCTACCCTTCATTTAGTTTCTACAAATATTGGAAACGACATCATCGAGACATTCGCAGCCCCTCGTCAAGCTGCCCTAAAGGGAATCAGCGCCGACGGCGGCCGCCCGCTCTGTCCCTCGAGTCGGGCTGGTACCCACAGTGAGCTGCACGGCTGGCTGCTTCCCCAGAAGGGCCATGTCGGCCGGGAGCCCGAAGGACTTGACTTGGTAGGTGAGGAAGCCGCCGTAGGAGGAGACCTGAAACGGGAGGGATGTGGTCAGCAGGCAAACATGAAGAGACCACGGCAACATCGCTCATGTGAGACGTACGTGGGCCCAGGGTCTGGAGAGAGACACAATCAGCCTGTTAACAGGGCCACTAGCGAGCGGACTGAAGATGGTATTTAACATTCCACAGGATGCCCACTTTAGAGCACTAAAACCGCGTAGCGTGATGGAGCTTCACAAGTGAAAGATCCTTCTGTTAAAAAAAAAAGCGTAGCCCAGCTGGCATGGCTCCGTGGTTGAGCTGCCTGTCGACAGCCCGCAGGAACAGAGACCTGCTGTCAACCCGGTGAGCTTGGAGGTGGACCCTCAGCCCAGGTGCCCACGCCCTGGCTGACACCTCGACCGCACCCTCAGGAGGGACCCCGAGCATCCGCTCCTGGACTCCTGACCTCAGAAACCAGGCTAGGTCATCAGTTTGTTGCTTTAAAAGTCAGTGTTGCCCGAGCTGGTGTGGCTCAGTGGAGAGAGCATCAGTCTGCAGATTGAAGGGTCCCGGGTTCAATTCCAGTCAAGGGCACATGCCTCAGTTACGGGCTTGATTCCCCAGTGTGGGGTGTGCAGGAGGCAGCCAGTCAATGATTCTCTCTCATCATTGATGTTTCTATCTCTCTCTCCCTCTCCCTTCCTCTCTGAAATCAGTAATATATATATATACACACATATATATACACATATGTATATAATATATATTATCTTTTAAAAAGTCAGTGTTTCAGGAAACCTGTTACGCAGCGAAGATAACCAGTGCGTGGCCCACCTGTGCAGGTGAAGAGGCGTGTGCGTGAGGCAGGAGCGGGTTACAGTGGAGCATCCACATTCCCCACATGCAGAGCTAGAAACCCCAGGTGGCACCTACCTTGTCCCCCAGGTAGGAGGGAGGTGCGACCCAGGTGGCGCTGTGCACGGTGGAGGGCAGCTCCTGGAGGTCGGCGACCACACTGCCGCTGCCGGGGTTGAAGGAGACGGGGATCTGGGCCCTGTCCGCCGTCTCCAGGCGCCAGCTCATCATGTCCACAAACTGGAACACAAAAGCCAGGGTGGGAACGCGGGATGGGGCCTGTCGCCACAGCTGGGCTGTGCAGAGGAGCCAGAGACGAGCGGCCGCCTGGCCTCACAGGCCCTGCCCTGGAGTCCCCGGAGGGCAGAGAGCAGGGGGTGCGGGGCTATCCTTGTGCCCAGACACATCCTGACTCCTGACGTTTAGTAGGCGCCCATCAATGTGCGAGTGACACTTGGGTAAGCGCATAAGTAACAACTCGTCCCGTGGGCTCCCGTTACGGTGAGCTCCTGCGTGTGAGACGTGGAGTGGAATGCAGCGCTGGGCTGTCATCACTCTGCCCTATGGAGCCTCGCCACTGACTATGTCCCTGATCACACATGGTGAGAGGAAGGGAGCGAAGGGCTGGCAAGGCAGAGGTTAGGAATCAGGCTCCGGGATCCCTGGGGGCAGAGGGAGGAGACTTCAGAGTGGGTTTACAAACTAACTTTTTCCCAATTAAAGGCTGCACTCCTTCCAGGAGGCAGGCAATGAAATCTTTCTTTGAATACTTGTTGGATACAAGACAACACTCGCACAAAGAAAGCAAGTATTAGGCTACCGGTTCATGGAATAATGAAGGCAACACACGTTTTACTTTCATGGAGTTAATTTAAAAAGTGGCCACAGAGCCCCAGCTGGTTTGGCTCAGTGGTTGGAGCACCTGCCTGCGGACTGAAGGATTCTGGGATCTATTCCGGTCGAGGGCACGTACCTGGGTGGCAGGCTCCATCCTAGCCCCAGACGGGGTGCATGTGGGAGGCAACCAATCAGTGGATCTCTCTCACATCGATGTTTCTCTCTCTGTCTCTCCCCCTCCCTTCATTCTGCCTAAATATCCTTGGGTGAGGATTCACAATAACAAAAAAGGGGCCAAAGAGAAGATGTGGTGAAAGGCCTGAGAAGGAAGTAACACAGAAAGAAGATGAGCTGATGAAAAGCAGCAGGGGAGGAACCACAAAGCCATGTGTTTAACAGTGCCCACTGAGCATCTACTGTGTCCCAGATGCTGCTGGGGCACTGGTCTAAATCAGAGCTCAGGCGTGCGTGGGGGAGGGAGGCAGATAATAAACACATTTTAGAACTAATCGTACAATAGGGCAGAGGGTGACGGGTGGGCTATGGCGTGGGAAGCGGTGAGGGAGGCCCCGTGAGCACCAGGCGCTGGAGCAGGGGCCTGACACCCTGCAGGACGGGACGGGGCAGGAGAGCGTCTGTGGGAACAGCACTGAGGCTGAGGCACAGCCAGGGCCAGGCTCAGCCTTTTAACAAAGCAATACAGCCCGGCCCGGCCGGCGAGTCTCAGTGGTTGAGTGTTGACCTATGAACTGGGAGGTCATGGTTAGAGTCCCGGTCAGGGCACAGGCCTGGGTTGTGGGCTCCATCCCCGGTGTGGGGCGTGCAGGAGGCAGCCGATCAGTGATTCTCTCTCATCATTGATGTCTCTCTCTCTGTCCCACTCTCCCCTCCTCTGAAATCAATAAAAATATACGTATTTAAAACAACAACAAAGTACTACCCAGACACTCCCATGGCCCTCATGTTTCACGCCCATCCGTCCGCCCTCACTCGGACTTTCTCCCTGAAACAGGCCGACGCGCTCCCGCACACCTTCGCTCTCCGTCTGTGGGTGCTGTGGCAGTGACGGCTGATCCCAAAGCAAAAGCAGCTGGTGCAGCCCTGGGGGTTCGCCGGGTCCAAGTGGAAGGAGCCTTCTCGACACACATCGCACTCGGCACCGTCCACATTCTCCTACGGAAAACACGGAAGGAGAGGTCATTCCCTCCGAGGGGTCCCGACGGCCGTAACCTACCCGCACAAACGAAACACAGCACAGGCTGCCAGGACGGGGATGGCAACAGAGCGTGACGTGACGGTGAGTGATTGTTAAGCTTCTTTACGGCCTCATTGTTTAAACCAGCTGTGTGAGCCTTTAGAGCAGCGGTTCTCAACCTGTGGGTCGAGACCCCTTTGGGGGTCGAATGACCCTTTCACAGGGGTCGCCTAAGACCACCGGAAAACACATATATAATTAAATATTGTTTTTGTGATCAATCACTATGCTTTAATTATGTTCAATTTGTAACAATGAAATTGGGGGTCACCACAACATGAGGAACTGTATTAAAGGGTCGCGGCATGAGGAAGGTTGAGAACCACTGGTTTAAACGTGTATCCCACACACACGTAGAGCACTTCCTTCCCGCTGGCATCTCGAAGGCAGGGAATCGGCCCGGCAGGACTCACAGTCGGACGGGACCAAGGCCTCCCCCTGACGCTGGGACCTGGGGCCCAGCAGCAGGCACAACCAGGAACAGGCTCCTAGGGCACCTCTGAGCCTCTTGAATTGTAGGCAGAGTGTGTGGGTGCCTGGCCGTGTGGCTCAGTGGTGAGCGTCGACCTATGATCCAGGAGGTCAGGGTTCAATTCCCGGTCAGGGCACAGGCCCGGGTTGTGGGCTCGATCCCGTGTGGGGCGTGCAGGAGGCAGCCGATCAATGACTCTCTCATCACTGATGTTTTTCTCTCTCTCCCTCTCCTTTTCTCTCTCTGAAATCAATAAAAACATATTTAAAACAAAGAAAAGAAAGAAGTCAAAATTTCCTAGGCCGTACTTTGGGCTGGCCTCTCGGTTTTTAAAGACATGTGTGATTTTCTGGAGAGGGTTGCACCTGTCACCAGACTCTTAGGGAGGTCTGCAGCCTCCACATCCACCACGGGTTGTCCCATTTCCCATATATTCCTGTACATTGACTGGACATGAAGAGCTTCCACAGTGATTGGTGGCCAATATCCTGGCCGCACTGGCCCAGGCTCACCTTGCAGAGGCAGGCCCCGGTCTCCGGGTCGCAGACTCCGGGCTCTGTCCCGTCTCTGCTGCAGCGGCAGGGGATGCACTCGGGGAAGCGGTGAAACCCAGGAGCGCATCGGTCACAACGCCGTCCTGAGATTCTGGGCCTGCACCTACACCCAAGCAAAGGAAGCGGAAGCCGTCGGCATCTCTACAGCTGGCCAGGTGCGTCCACGGCCAGGGGGACCCCGGTGCTGACGGCCAAGGCAGAACGGAGGCAGCAGAGCCCGGGCCTGAGCCTCGAGGGTGCGGACAGGAAGAGGGAATCTGTTGTACGTGTTTTCACTTCATTGGAAAAGAAAGGAACGGGGCCCCGGCAGGTGGGCTCAGCCATTGAGCATCAAGCCAGGGACCAAGAGGCCACCGGTTCCACTCCGGGGAGGGCACAGGCCTGGGTGCGGGCTCCATCCCCTGTGGGGGCGTGCAGCAGGCAGCGATCAAACCTAAGGAAGGCCCTGGGCCACACCTGATCATTGCCCCGTGCCAAGCAACCCCTGTCCTTCGGGAAGGAGCTGAGTGAGACTTGATGTTTGCATTTTGAGAGAGAGGAAGGGAGAGGGATAGTCTTTATCCTTCTCAAACCATGAGCATGAACCAGTTTCATTCCCCGTCAGGGCACGTGCCCGGGTTGCAGGCTCGATCCCCAGCAGGAGGCAGCCCATCAGTGATTCCCTCTCATCATGGAAACAGCCGTTTGCCATTCGTGTCTCAGCAGTCGTGCCAGGACCTCTCGCTGCTCCGGGGCAGCCCCTCCCAGGATGTTCTCCAGCATGTCCCTCCCCTCCCTGTCCCCGCCGCCACACACACACACAGGACCCCCACACCGGCTCAGACAGGTGCCCGGCAGGCTCTGCATTGAAACCTTGAAGCCGGAGTCACGGGCTTCCCAGGTGAACAGTGTACCAGCCGGACTGAGCGGCGACGGCATGAGGGACAGGATCCCGCCTCCCAGACCAGAAGCTGGAGGCACTGGACGGTGGGTTACACAGCAGGGGGTGCATGTGGCTCACCCTGTCCAGCTGCCACAGGGAGGGACTGGCCTGAGGATTTCAGCCCAAGTCCTGCCCGGTACTTCACAACGTCCAGCTAACCCAGGGAAGGGTGGAGCCCGGCCCTAAATACAAGTGGCGAGGCGCCCCCCATAGGGACACGTAGAAGTTGGTAACTCTACACGTGCATTTTGACATTAAGAATATGCTGGAGCCCTGGCCGGTGGCTCAGTGGTTACAATGTCGGCCCACGGACCAAAGGGTCACGGGTTCGATTCCCAGTCTAGGGCACGTACCTGGATTGTTCGATTCCTGGTCAGGACTCGAGTGGGAGGCAAGCAAACGATGTGCCTCTCTCACATCAATGTTTCTCTCTCTCCCTCCTACTCTCTAAAAATCAATGGGAACAATACTTTGGGGGGAGGATTAACCAAAAAAAATAAATAAAAAGATGGATGGTGGAGGGAACAGGCCGGGCAGCTTGTGGGCTCAGGCGACCGGCCCTCACCCACCAGGCCCTGCTGGGTCCCCTGGGGTACAAGTGACTCCACACGTGACCTATCTGGACAGGGAACCGCACCCTGAGGGGACCCCGTGCAGCCCTCGGGCCCATGAGAATCGGGAGTAACGCCCAGTGTGGGCAGATGCATCGTCCCTTCCATGGAGAACCAGCGGGTCCATGCCCCAGCTCACCTGCACTGCCCGTGGTCCGGGTGGCACTCAGGGGTGCCCACCATGCCTGCCGTGCCCGCGCTGGAGCAGTTGCAGGGCTGGCAGCCCGCCCGGGGGGGGAAGGC